GTGTCTCAAACTGTTCAATCATAAATGTCTACATGTCTCAAACTGTTCAATCATAAATGTCTACATGCCTCAAACTGTTCAATCATAAATGTCTACATGCCTCAAACTGTTCAATCATAAATGTCTACATGCCTCAAACTGTTCAATCATAAATGTCTACATGCCTCAAACTGTTCAATCATAAATGTCTACATGCCTCAAACTGTTCAATCATAAATGTCTACATGCCTCAAACTGTTCAATCATAAATGTCTACATGCCTCAAACTGTTCAATCATAAATGTCTACATGCCTCAAACTGTTCAATCATAAATGTCTACATGCCTCAAACTGTTCAATCATAAATGTCTACATGCCTCAAACTGTTCAATCATAAATGTCTACATGCCTCAAACTGTTCAATCATAAATGTCTACATGCCTCAAACTGTTCAATCATGAATGTCTACATGTCTCAAACTTTATAATCATGAATGTCTACATGTCTCAAACTTTTTAATCATGAATGTCTACATGTCTCAAACTTTTTAATCAAGAAACTCTACATGTCTCAAACTTTACAGTCATCAAACTCCACATGTCTGAAAGTCTATCTTTCTGAAACTCTAAAATTTTGAAAAATTGACCCACAACAAATTTGATGTATTAAAATTCTAAACCCTGGAAATTTTTAAACACACGAAACATATAAAATATTTAAATAATTTCAGTGTTTCAAAGAAGGCAAAGAGAAGACCTCAGTTGATTAAATTCCGAAGCTATGAACGACACCTTGCAGAATATCCTGCAGAGTAGAATTCGTATCAAAGGCGATCTCCATAGAAACTCTGGCAATTTTCTCGGGAGATCGATCGCAATAAAGCCGGAACGCACGAATCGTCAGTTTCCAATTTCACGATACAGTATGCAGAGAAGAGAAATAAAGAGTCGCATCTACGGAGCTAATATATATTTATGTATCTCGTCAAACGTTCCAAAGTTTTGCATCGATCTACACGGTGTCCTTGTACATATATATAACGTGTACGTGTGTGAGAACAAAAGAGAACGAAGAGAATAGAGAGTAAGGGGTAAGGAGAGACGACAGAGAGCAGATAGTGAGAAAAGAAACAACCATGGAAAGGAAAAATGACAAACGTGATAGCAATAGAGAAAAATATATATTCGAGCGTATACGACATCGTGATGCATGTGTATAGGTACACGCTTAGACGGACACATGGATACTTTCAATTTAAATACAATAAAATTTATGAAAAATTATAATATTTCATGGCACTTGAGGTGCTTGAACAGACTCTTGTGAAGTCAGATACAACGAGATGTTTGTTTAGAGACAATATAATGTTTATTAGAGACAATCAGGTTGGAGACAAGATATATTAGTCTCTTTATTGGGACCGAATAGATTTCAGACTTCAAATTTTCAAACTCTTATTCTGATACTTTCAAATCATTGACAGTGAGTAGTTTGAGTATTATGAGACTCTTATGGTCCGAAAGTCCGAAAGTCTGAAATGTCTGATTATAGTCTGAAATGTCTAAAAGTCTGATAGTCTGAAACGTCTGAAAATCTGATAATTCAAAACGTTTGAAAGTCTGATAGTCTGAAAGGTTTGATACGTTTGAGAGTCTTATGATAGTCTGAAACATCTGAAATGTCTAAAAGTCTGATAGTCTGATAGTCTGAAACGTCTGAAAGTCTGATAATTCAAAACATCTGAAAGTCTGATAATTTAAAACATCTGAAAGTTTGATAGTCTGAAAGGTCTGAACGTCTGAGAGTCTGATGATAGTCTGAAACATCTGAAACGTCTGAAAGTCTGGTAGTCTGGTAGTCTGAAACGTCTGAACGTCTGAAGACATGGAAATCTGAACGTCTTGAAGTCCAAAAGACTGAAGGTTTAAACGTCTGAACGTCTTACAGTCTTGAACTCTTAAAAGTCTGAAGAATGTCTGAATATACGAAAGTCTCAAAGTCTCAAAGTCTGAAACTGTGAAATTCTGCAAACTGTGAAACCTCGAGACTCTGAAACTTTGAAACTCCCAAACTCCTGAAGTCAAAACATCTGTCTGAAAGTGTCTGAAAATGTCTGCAAGTGTCTGAAAGAGTCTGAAAGAGTCTGCAAGTGTCTGAAAGTCTGAACACCTAAACGTCCAAAAGCTCGTAAGCCACGAACGTCCAAAACTGCAAATACTTATGTACTCAAAAGCGTAAAAATTTGAATCTCTGAAAGTCTGAAACTCTGAAAGTCTGAATGTCTGAAAGATGTGTCCGTAGCGTGTACACGTATACACGTATATACATTGACAATATATACGTATACGATACGTGATAAATAGAGATAGATATAGATATATGTATATATATATATGTATAGATATATAGAACAGTCAATAACCAGTCACAAAGTACCTTTTAGTCGAGTTAGCGAGCTTCTCTCTACGCTCGGGCTCAGACTGAAACAGAGATCATCACGTGTCATTTTCACGCGACATTATGAATGGCACTCGGCCATCGATCATCGATCCTGCAGATCGTTCGAAACCTTCTGCTCGCTGTTCTTCGAGGCCCTTTCCTGATCCCGATCCTTTCATCGTAAACATTTTCTCCCTGTCGTTTATTATTTCTCGAATCGGAGACAATTACAAAGGTCTTCGAACAACTTGCTTAATGGAGAACGTAAGTCTTGTATCGACGGTTCTCCGGGTTGTTTAAGGAGAATAGTAAATTTTCGCGAACGCCCTTGTTCGACTGGGCGAAAAGTCGAGTCCCACTAACCTACTTTCGAGCATCTCTAATTTAAAAGTACTCTTTTGATCAATACCACATTGTTTATTAACAATCTTTACATTTGTCAAACATTTAAATAACATTCTATTTCTAAACAGTTCTCAATTATTTAATTTAAAATTGACTTAGGATTGGAAACTTTTTGAAATAGGTTAGCAAGATCGACACCGTTCGATACCTACACAGGATCGAGATCCAGGAAATGATTCTACTTACATGATGCCTGGCTGAGCTCAGTTTGGGTCTATCGCACACTGGACATTCGAGGCGGCAAATGTCGGTGACGAAGTTCGAGCTTGGCTGCGCGATGCACATTAAAAACACATAAACCCCCTGCACGGGGCAAAAAGACGACTTCTCGTAGAATATACGACATCCAGTACAGAGATAATGTCTCTTAGATGCTGTACGAAGTGTTTCAATAAAGAAGTGTTCGTTTCTTTTTATCACGTTCTTATAGAAGAACGGTATAAGTACTTAAGAGGTCGATCATTTAACTTTGCTATTGATATGCGTTGATTTTTGCTTTGAATTAGGAAGGGGCAGATGCCAACGTTTGGTATTACAACGCTTTATGTTACCACGCGTTGGAATTGCAACGCATCGAATTACCACGCGCTGGAATTATAACGCATCGAATTACCAAGCGCTGGAATTCCAACGCATCGAATTACCAAGCGCTGGAATTCCAACGCACCGAATTACCACGCGTCGAATTACCACGCATCGAATTACCACGCGCTGGAACTGCAACGCATCGAATTTCCAAGCGTTGAATTACCACGCGTCGAATTACTACGCGCTGGAATTCCAACGCATCGAATTACCAAGCGCTGGAATTCCAACGCATGGAATTACCAAGCGTCGAATCTCCACGCGTCGAATTACCACGCGATGGAATACCAACGCATCGAATTACCACGCGCTGGAATTGCAACGTATCGAATTACCACGCGTCGAATAACTACGCGCTGGAATTACCACGCGTTGAATCTCCACGCGCCGTATCTCAACGCGTCGAATCTCTACCCCTTCTTAATCCCACCCCACCTCAAGTCCCAAAGCATCTACCACTCGCTCCAAAAAATCTCGCGAAACATTTCCAAGTCGCAACGCGTCAGCCAGCTCGAAGATCGACCTAAAACGCGATTGGATCAACTTGACAGGTGTCCGAAGCGAACAACGGTGATATTCAGACGCCAACCGTCCAAAACCCAGGGAACCCACAATCGACGCGTCTTGGATTGTTAAGTGTCTCGTGTTAGTAAACTCGTCAGGCAAAAGCGGACAAAACTGAAGCGCACGAGAGAGACAGACAGAGGGCCAAGGGATGGTTTTGTCACTTTCCTTCGTTCACAACCCTTCCTGGGGTTCACGGACAGAAAAAGAGAACAGGGTGGAAGTAGGGGTTGGAAGAAACGACGAAAACTCGAGAGACACGATTGTAGAATTGTCTCCGTGTGCTCTTTGCTCGACTTCCGGTCTATAGGTGCATTCCGATACTGCAGGGTACTTACGGTTCTCCCCGTAATCAAACGCTAGGTCAACAAATGAAAACGCGAATCCGATTGATTTTTTTTTGGAGTTCTTTCTGGGTTACGTCCTTAAGGAGGAGTTAATACTGGTTCGTTTCACCCGGTTCGGGCTGACATTTCTCGGTGTGCCTCGACGCGCCATTTTGAGAGTGCAGTTGTGACGCAAATGGCGCCTTTAGAGTTGCTTGTTTTAAAACTGTATTGCACAATTCTGTTTATAGAGTGAATGACTCATCAATTATTTGTATGACATTCTTAGACTATATCTTTGTGTGTGTACAAGTATATAACTCAAAAATAGAAGCAAACATTTTATTTTATGTAGAACAGAACTCAATGAATTCATAGAATCGTCGACTTCATACAATAAGGAGAAGCACAGAAAAAAATTCACACGTCGAGGCACAATCTGTTAATACTTGTTGTTAAATTCTGTTAGGAGGACCTCTCGACAGAGATAACTAAATTAATTGAAGCAGTAATAGTTACTTAAAGATGTAACCTCTATTTAGAAATTATTAAATTATAAATTACTCATGGGATAATTAAATGAGACCGATGCTCAATCTATTTTCGGTCGAGTCAAAAGATCCTCCGAATGTCTTCAACAGTCCGGTAGTAAAATTGGTTAGTACGCAATATGTACAGAGGGTGCTTTATGTGGTGACATACCCGTTTGCGAGTGCGGAGAGTCCATTCCACGGTGACCATCCTCGGGCCTGAGGACCGGCGAGAAGGTCGGCGCACTCGAAACGGAAACCGTCGGGGCTTTTTCAGTCTTGTCGTTCCGTATGAGCTGGTGCACCGGTGGTGGGCCTGCGGAACGAGAAAACAAACCTGTACAACGAAATTATATTTGTTATAGACACCTTCAAAATTACAGGTAAAGACTTCCGAGCGTCGAATTAACACGCGCTGGAATTGCAATGCATCGAATTACCACGCGCTGGAATTGCAACGCATTGAATTACCACGCGCTGGAATTGCAACGCATCGAATTACCAAGCGCTGGAATTTCAATTCATCGAATTACCACGCGATGGAATTTCAACGCATCGAATTACCAAGCGCTGGAATTTCAACGCATTGAATTACCACACGATGGAATTTCAACGCATCGAATTACCAAGCGCTGGAATTTCAACG